GTTGCTAGGGTTCTTTGGACAAATCTTGAGAAATTGTGGTTTAATTAATATGTTCTACTCAGGAGTTTCTAGATGTGCAGAGGCCATGGGGATTATCTGGATCCTGAAGGATGTGCCAGGGAAGGCTTGTCAGTTCAGATGGGTTGAGTCTGTCTTCTTCAGCACTGGGCCATGCCAAGTATCTCTCCATTTGTCTACTGATGATAAAGCATCTTCATTCTTTTGGAGATGTGGTTGTAATTGAAGAAGCACTATGGTGGAGACAGAAAAAAGCATGTTTTTTTTTTTTCGAGAGGAGTCTCACTCTGTCCCTTAGGCTGGAGTGCAGTGGTGCGATCTTGGCTCACTACAAGCTCCGCCTCCCAGGTTCACGCCATTCTCCTGCCTCAGCCTCCCGAGTAGCTGGGACTACAGGCGCCCGCCACCATGCCTGGCTAATTTTTGTATTTTTAGTAGAGACGGTGTTTCACTACGTTAACCAGGATGGTCTCAAACTCCTGACCGCGTGATCCGCCCACCTCGGCCTCCCAAAGTGCTGGGATTACAGGCGTGAGCCACCGTGTCCGGCCGCACAGTTTCTTTTTCCCTCTTGTGGGATGGTAGAGGGTGGCCATAGAATCAAGTTCTTTGGGTTCCTTTAGTTATTTGACAGTGTTTTCTGTTGGACTTTTCTTTCTTTCTTTCTTTCTTTTTTTTTTGAGACAGAGTCTCGCTGTGTCACCTAGGTTTGGATGCAGTGGCATGATCTCAGTTCACTGCATCCTGGGTTCCTGCAATTCTTATGTCTCAGCCTCCTGAGTTGCTGGGATTACAGGTGTACGCAACCAAGCCCGGCTACCCACATTACTGTTTCCTTTACATGGACTTACTGTTTTGTGTAAAGGAAAACTTGGAAAGTCTTGTATTCCTAGTTTGGTGTGTTCATCGTGTTTTCATATTTCATAAATGTACAATAGCGAAATAATAAATGTTTACCCCAGTGCCTCATAAAACTGGTTCCCGTCCCGCATTGCACTTTGAGAAGTGGTGCTGTAGATGGAGGGTCGAGGAGTCGGGGGGCAGTCGTTCTGAGAGTACTCTGGCCCCTTTGACTGAGAGAGACCATGCCCTTCCCAGGTGCGGCTCTATGAGTGGACAACAGAGAAGGAGCTGCGCACTGAGTGCAACCACTACAACAACATCATGGCCCTCTACCTGAAGACCAAGGGCGACTTCATCCTGGTGGGCGACCTTATGCGCTCAGTGCTGCTGCTCGCCTACAAGCCCATGGAAGGAAACTTTGAAGAGGTGATGCTGGTGGGGGGATGGGAGCAGACTTCTTTCTTGAGCCATGGCCCCTGCAAGTGTCTCTGGTGGGGAAGGATAATCCAGCCGAGTATTAGGGGCAGAAATGTTTTCCGTGGAGCAGACAGTCTACCTTGATTAAGTATTTTTAGAGACTCCCAACTCGAACTGAGTAGGCTCCATCTCTGGGCAGTTGGCAATCAAATGGGCTGCGTTGGCAGAGAGGTCGGGGGAGAATCCCTCTAGGGCGACACTTGTTGAACACTGGGCTACATCTTCTGCAGGGTGGGGCCTTGCTCCTGAATAAAGGAAACACAAGTCCCAGAACTGGATTCCATGCAAACTTCTGATTGTGTTTTCTTGTTTCACCTTGTCTGTTTTAAGATTGCTCGAGACTTTAATCCCAACTGGATGAGTGCTGTGGAAATCTTGGATGATGACAATTTTCTGGGGGCCGAAAATGCCTTTAACTTGTTTGTGTGTCAAAAGGACAGGTGAGTAGTGGCCAGCTCTGGGAGTGGTGGGGAGGTTGGGAGCTCCCAGGTCTCTGGTGGATACAAGCATTGGGTTCTGTGTCAGGTTCAGGTGCTCCTCTTTATAGAGAGAGAACTTTCCTCGTGAGAGAGTAAAAGGTGACAGAAATCCACCTCTTTAGACTGGCTCCCCTACTGTGGAGTATGTGAGCTTCCCAGGGAAGTTCAGCACCGTGACCACTGCACGTGGTCCTGTCTCAGGGCCTGTGGTGGAAACAGGAGGTTCAGAAACTTACTTTCTCACCACCTTTCAGCGCTGCCACCACTGACGAGGAGCGGCAGCACCTCCAGGAGGTTGGTCTTTTCCACCTGGGCGAGTTTGTCAATGTCTTTTGCCACGGCTCTCTGGTAATGCAAAATCTGGGTGAGACTTCCACCCCCACACAAGGCTCGGTGCTGTTTGGCACGGTCAACGGCATGATAGGTAAGGTTACCCCCGTGGGGCACACCCCCACACAGGTCTCCTTCCTGATACCACCATTCTGAGGGACTGGGCAGAGCAACTGGATAAGACCTAGGTGTTTACTAGAGGAGGCTGTAGCACATTAGCCCTCCCCGAGCTGCTCGCCTGGGCTGCCCTTTACGTAGAGGATGCGTGCTGTGAGGTTGACCTCTCTGCAGCTCACTGCCTCCTTCACTTCTTCAGGGCTGGTGACCTCACTGTCAGAGAGCTGGTACAACCTCCTGCTGGACATGCAGAATCGTCTCAATAAAGTCATCAAAAGTGTGGGGAAGATCGAGCACTCCTTATATCCTTCCCAGAGCCATCCCCTTGCTGGGAAGCATGTCCCGGCATATGTGGCACATGGAGTTACATTACCCGGAAGCTGCTACATGTCTTGATTAGGTTCCTATACAGAACAGGTTTTTTGTTTTGTTTTGTTTTTGACTTTTTCATGTGGAAAATTTCAAACATACACAATAGAACAGTATATTGACTCCCAAAGCACTTATCACTCAGCTTCCGCTGGTCCATCTTGGAAATGCACATTTATATTCCTGAAATGTGTCCGCCTGTGGCCCTCGGTGTAGCAGGTGAAATGTAAGTTTAGATCACAACACAGGAGCACATCCTTTCAGGGATTTGGTTGAGGGCAACAGTGTCTGAGACTAGAGAGACTACCAGAAGAAAGGGAAAGGTGAAGAAGCGGAAAACGCTGAAGCGCAAGAATTTACCACCCTGGGACCCCCAGAATCCAAGTGCTATTGGAAGTTGGTTTAGTACAGGAGATATAAAGGGCCCTCCCTGCCCCCGCTGGAGGTGGGAGGAGCTCCTGCCTGTGACTCTGGCCCGGCTCTAGTTAAGGAGGGCTGATGGGCTGATCTATTGTTTTTTGCTAACTATCAAGACTTTGGCAGCCCTGTCTCACTGAATCTCAGTTTATTCATCAAGGGAGCTGCTGCTTTTCTTCTTCTTCTTTTTTTTTTTTTTTTTGAGATGGGTTCTTGCTCTGTTGCCCAGGCTGGAGTGCCGTGACACGATCATGGCTCACTGCAACCTTGACACCCTGGGCTCATGTGATTCTCCCACCTCAGCCTCCCGAATAGGTGGTACTATAAGCACATGCCTCACCTGGCTAATTTTAAAAAATTTTTGTTTTTTGTAGACAGGAGTTCATGGTGTTGCTCAGGTTTGGTCTTGAACTTTTGGACTCAAACGATCCTCCTGCCTCAACCTCCCAAAATGTTGGGTTCACAGGTGTGAGCTGCCACCACACTGACCCCTCTATGAAGCTCTGAGGCTAGACTTACACAAGTGGTTTTTGTGCATCAGCTTTGCCTAGAGCACGTTTAAAGAACTTGCATACACGTATGGTCTTCACATTAATAGACTCTGATCTGTACTTTTTTCAAAAACTATTTTGAAGATCACCCCAATTGAGAACCAATTAGATTAGGTCATATTTTTACATTTTTTTCAATTCCAAAAATGTCCAAAAAAAACCAAGGCGAAAGGAAAGTGTCATTTCCTTTTGAATCCTGATGATTGCTTTTAGATTGTGGTCTTATTCAAAGGTGGGGATGACTGAGGAAGGTGTTTCCTGATAAGCACATGTTCCTTAACTCACCCGTCCACCTGGAGATCCTTTCACACCGAGCGGAAGACAGAACCAGCCACAGGTTTCATCGATGGTGACTTGATTGAGAGTTTCTTGGATATCAGCCGCCCCAAGATGCAGGAGGTGGTGGCAAACCTACAGGTGAGCTGTGTGTTGTTTAGCCCTGGGCCGGACAAGTCCGGTGCAGGTTGGGGCATGCCAGGAGACTGTCTCTGGGCACCTCTCCCCCTCAATTCCAAGGTGCAAGGGGCCCTCTGTGTAATCCTTACCAGATAGAAGGTGGAGTCTGAGGGAAAAGAGATGTTTGTGGTTGTGGCTTGTGGGTATCTACTAGGTACCAGATGCTGTGCTAGTAACTCTACCCATGTTAACCCCATCCTTGAGCAATGAAGACACATCTGGGATCTCTGGCAAGACCCAAAGGTAGGAGGCAGGGTCAGGATCCTGTAGGGAGGAGAAATGGCCACTATTCTGGAGTTCAGGATATTGCTCACTGGAGATGGTGTCTCGGGGACAGCAGAAGAGGGAGAATCTCGAAGAGGGAGAAATAGACCAGGTGGTGTCCTTGCTGACCTGTACCACTCAGGGGGAGGTGTGGGTTTCTGGTGAGCCCTTTCTCTGCCATGACGATGGTGGAGTCTTGTGCCTCCTTCACTGGGGGCATTCCCTTCCCCAGCTGTGGGTGAGCGCCCTCTTGGTCCTCACAGCCCCGCCCGTCTTCTCATTGCAGTATGACGATGGCAGCGGTATGAAGCGAGAGGCCACTGCAGACGACCTCATCAAGGTTGTGGAGGAGCTAACTCGGATCCATTAGCCAAGGGCAGGGGGCCCCCTTTCTGACCCTCCCCAAAGGCTTTACCCTGCTGCCCTCCCCCTCCTCTCCACTATTGTCTTCTTGGCCATGGGAGGCCTTTCCCTAAGCCAGCTGCCCCCAGAGCCGTAGTTCCCCTACGTGGAAGTGGGGCGGGCTTCATAGAGACCTGGGAATGAGCTGAAGGTGAAACATTTTCTCCCTGGATTTTTACCAGTCTCACACGATTCCAGCCATCACCTTGGACCACCAAGCCTTGATTGGTGTTGCCAGTTGTCCTCCTTCCAGGGAGGGATTTTGCAGTTCTTTGGCTGAAAGGAAGCTCTGTGTGTGTGTGTGTGTGTGTGTGTGTGTGTATGTATGTGTGTGTGTGTATATCTCACACCCATGCATTGTCCTCTTTTTATTTAGATTGGCAGTGTAGGGAGTTGTGGGTAGTGGGGAAGAGGGTTGGGAGGGTTTCATTGTCTGTGAAGTGAGACCTTCCTTTTACTTTTCTTCTATTGCCTCTGAGAGCATCAGGCCTAGAGGCCTGCCAGGCCATGGGCAGCCTGTGTGTAAAACCTGGAGACGGTGGATGATCCCCACACCACAGCCCTTTTGTCTCTGCAAACTGCCTTCTTCGGAAAGAAGGAGGTGGGAGGATGTGAATTGTTAGTTTCTGAGTTTTACCAAATAAAGTAGAATCTAAGAAGAAAGGTACGTTTGTTTTTGCTTTTATTCACCCTGCCCAGCTATCCAGGACCTCAGGTATACTATTCCTAATTTACTGCGAACGTAGGCAGTATCCTACTCTTTATGGCAGCTGTTGCATTCACTTGCCCTTGCTGTTAGAACAACTCTTTTCAGGTAGTGAAAGTGAAGACATCTATACCTCTTCTTGATCACGTGATTGTTTGATGGGATCCCAAGGATGATGGGTTTAGAAATTCACTGGTCTTTTTGGTTGTCCTTGACACCATTTGATTCTTACTTGCCTCTGCCAGTAACCTGCTGGGCCTGGGCTGCCTTTCCTGGTTTTACAGCCAGCTGTGTACAGTGCAATGTCTAGTCATCTAGCCCCCAGGCCACCTAGTAGCTTCTCATGTGCCTTCCAGCTGCTTGTTGCCACATGCCCTTTGAACCCTCATTTTGTTTCCTCTGATCTAATCAAGTGACCATTTGGTGCTTTCGGTTTGAGAATACAGCAGGAGTAGGGCACATATGGGGTTCACTCTTCTGTCTGGCAAACAAAGTCTGTCTTCTTTTCAGCTCGGTGGGCCAGTGTCTGGGCCCACGTTTCTCCCAGTGATCCAGTGGGAAGAAAGGCTGCTCTGTCCCCACAGTGGAGTAGGGTTGATCCTAGGCATATTGGTGGCTCCTTTAAGACCAGCCTTTGATACAGTGTCAGGAAAATTGTGGTTACAAGTTCAAATTGTGGTTTTGAGAGATTCTAGCTTAAAAGGAAAAGAGCAAAGAAGCATCCCTGGTTTGAGGGTCTTCTGGAGGAAGTTTCCTTCCCTGAAGGAATTCCTTGTGTTTTACTACCCTTTTTTCCCCTTAGTCTTCTGAGAGTTCTGGGGGTGGGGGATAAGGTCTTAACAAAAAATAATCAGCATCTCAAAAACCACAGTTTGAACTGGAAACCTAACATTGTGATTTGAATTCTAAAAGTCATGGTTTGAATTTGAAAGGGCCTCCCCGCCCCAGAGGCCAGCTTTAATGAGGCAGGCAAGCAACAGTCTCCACATTGTAAAAATGTAATCCTAGGTGGGAGCGCTGACTATAAGGTGTCATGATCAGAAAGACGGAATGTGTTGGGATGATCATTCTGGGGCACTTTCGTGGTCTGACCTGCAGCTGCTGAGACCTGCTATTGAAGAAGGTTGTCAATGACTTGTCTTGAATTTGGAGGCTTGTGGAGTCCTTGCTATGTTTTGCTGTTTTTTTGTTTCATACACTCTTGGGTATATTCACTCGGGATTGAATTCCAACTTCGGAAACTGATGTTCTGCTGCCATACTCCCACATCCCCTCTTAAAAACCATTAATCACCTCTCTAGGGTGAAAGGTTGTCTTTGGAGCATGGCTCTAGCCAGCTGGAACAGCTCCATTCCATGTAGGCGCTGATGAGCTAGCATCACTCCAGGCCTCTGCACGAAGGGACCTTTGGGAGAATAATAGAAACACTGACTCATCACATGACCATTTGGAGGGATCACAAGCCAGAGGCCGTCATTCTGCAGCCAACAACAACTTGGATCCTCCACCCTCGGTGGAGGGTCCCTTTTGTTACCGAGAAACCACAAGCCACAGAAGTGGGGAAGGAACACAGGAACTGTAATCAAGGGATATGCCTGAACTAGTCTTGAACAATAGTAAGAGACTCTGTGTCCAAACTGAGAAACCTCAGGGTCAAACAAAAAGACAAGAAAAACAAAAACCAAACTAAAGGGGCAAATGTTGATAGGAGCAAGGTGAATGCCATAAGGTCACCACAACTTTATGGGGAAATGAAAGAAATGCCAAGGGCAGTTTGGACGTTATTTGGAGACTCACTAACAGGAATTTACTATGTATTAAGTATCCTGAATTCCTTAGGGTAGATGTGGGTTTTCTTCAAGCACAAAGTTGCATCTCAGCTATTGCAGCTGCTCTTTGGCCAATATGGAGCAAACTGCCAGAGAGTGAGTTTTACAGGGTGAGGTGGAGTGGGTGGGGCTCCATAATGTAGCTAAGAACAGAGGTAGCTGAGGTGTGCTGGAGTGTGAGAAAGAAGATGGCATGAAATATGACAGTCATGTGGACACTTGTTCTGTGTATGCCTGTTGAAAATTTGGGTAGCTCCCCTAGGGCCAGGAAGAAAGAGCACCTATTTGACATTGGTGGTTTAGGGGCAGTGGAGGGGGAAAGTGCAACCTTCAGATGTTTGAGGAAAGAGAGAAAGATGCCTTAGGATTCTGAGAGTCCTTGGAACTCAGAATGGATATGATGGAAGTGGCATCTTATATTACATCTTATATTACAGAATATTATATTACAGAATATTATATTACAGAATATTATATTACAGATATAATACAGAATATTATATCATCTTATATTACAGAATATTTTGGCTCCTACTTGTTGAGAATATGTTGACTAGATTAGAAAATGGGCCAAAACAAACAAGGTGAGATAAAGCCTCAAGGTGAATGTCTGCAAAAATGTAGCCACACAGGTTCAGGTAGGAAGACCACTTGGCAGCTTGTGTTTAAATAACGTAAAAGCACAACAAAAAATGCCTGCGTTTTTTTTTTTGTTTTTTTTTTTTTCGAGACAGTCTTGCTCTGTCATCCAGGCTAGAGTGCAATGGTACCATCTTGGCTCACTGCAACCTCTGCCTCCCGGGTTCAAGCGATTCTCCTGCCTCAACCTCCTGAGTAGCTGGGATTACAGGCACCCGCCACCGCGCCCAGCTAATTTCTGTATTTTTAGTAGAGATGGGCTGTCACCATATGGCTAGGCTGGTCTGGAACTCCTGACCTCAGGTAATACACCCGCCTTGGCCTCCCAAAGTGCTGGGATTACAGGTGTGAGCCATCACACCGGGCCACCTGCGGTTTTTCTTTACTGCAAACTCAGTGTGTCATAATTAACATCATGGGGTTGCCAAAAGTAATATTAGGGTGCATTAGTAAATATGTTGTCTGCAGGAAGGAGGCATGAGTCCAGGCCACCGCTGGTATGCCATGTCCATTTGTGGCCACCAATGTTAAGCACCTCAGTAAAGGCAGAGGTAGCAGGAAGGCTAAAGGACCTGGGATTGTTCAGCTGGGAAGTGAAGACACTTTAAAACACATGTGGTTCAAAACTGGATGGGCTGCTGCTTAACAGGTAGTGAGTTTCTTACCCCTGGAAGTATTTAAGCAAAATCTTGACTAATTGTGAGTGGCTAAGGGAAAGATTACTGCATGGAGCAGAAGGTAAAATCAGTTATCCTTTTAGCTTTCTCCCAGCGGGATGATTTTTATTTCCACGCACCCATTTCCGCACCCTTTCCTTACCTAAATCCCTACGCGGACCCCCAGTCTCTGACCACAGCCTGGGGCAGCTGCAGAAGGGGCAAAGAGGAGCGTTCCAGATCTGCTTCTGCCTCTCCACTGCCAACGGCGCCAGCTGCTTCATCGCCTTGCCACCAGCAGTCGGGAGGCCAGCCATCTGCCCCCTGGGTGCCCAGAGGAGGCCGGGGCTTCAAGAGTGGCTAGGGCCCCCGGCCAGGGAGCGGTTGGACCTACAGATCAGCGCATGTCGGCCAGGGGGCGGTTGGACCTACAGATCTACGCACTCCGGTGTTAGGGTGCAGACCTGCTGGCAGGCTGGGGGCAGGCCTAGAACTGCCCAGCGGCGCAGCGACCTGGCGTCCTGGGTTCGAATTTCCACGGTTCCCACCTCATGAAAACAAGGCGTCTCAGGTCCCACCGACAGGGGCCATGCCCGGGGCGCGCAGCCTCGGGCGCTAGCATTATTCCTGAAGTCTGTTTCCTCCTGGGGCCTCGGTCTGACGCCCTCAGTCAGCGCTTCGCAGGAAGCCGACTCCCAAACCCGGGCAGGGGGTGTGGGCCAAGGGCGAAACCCCGCCCCCAGGGGTCCCTGATCTTTGCCCCGGCCCCGGGCTCGGCGCCTCTCGGAGAGGCATCAGCAGGCGGACGGCGTTGCCTTTGTGTGTTTCGCTTCGAGGTGCCGGAGACCCTCCCCAAAGCCGTCCGCCGCGTCCCCTCGCGGCCCTCGGCCCCTCCTCTCGGCGTCCCCAGCCCCCCTGCTCAGCTCCGCTTGCCAGTTCGGGAATTGCTGGTTCGCTCCCCGCGGCGCCAGGAGGAGGGGCGAGAGCCGGCAGCCCCCTCCCCCGCGCGCGGCGCAGGAGCTGAGCCCAGCCCGGGGGACCCGCCGCCGCCGGTCATGTGGGCCGGACTGCTTCTTCGGGCCGCCTGTGTCGCGCTTCTGCTGCCGGGGGCTCCAGCCCGAGGCTACACCGGGAGGAAGCCGCCCGGGCACTTCGCGGCCGAGAGGTAAGCGCCCCGAGCTCCTCCCCGCCCCCTCGCCCGGGAGAGCGCTACCCGCGTGCAGCTGAGAGGCGCGGAGGGGCGCCTAGCAGCCGCAGACAGCCACGGGTCCGGGCTTCCTCTGGGGTGCTATCAGCGCGGGCATAGCTCGGGGACGGGACAAAGAGACAGCAACTTGTGCCTCTAGGCGGGTGCTCCTCGTGCGCCCCTGGCTGGGGCTGTCCTGACTGGGACCTAGGGGGACGGAGGTCCAGGCGCTGGGTGACTCCTAATGTGCCCTGGAGCGCGGACCTCCGGAGAGGGGAGCCCAGGACGTGCCATCTGGTATCCGGACTGTCTGGCTCACCCCGCAGCGTGCCCATGGCTCTGCCTGGGCAGCGCCTGGCCTCCCCCACTGCGCGGGGCTTTCCCTAGGTCTTGGCCCTAAGAACGTCGTGGACCTTGGAACCGCCGGGGTCTCTGGGTCACCTTTCGTTTTCTGTCCGTGCGTGCGTGCGCGCGCGGCGGGGTAGGGGGTGGGGGTGCATGCCCCTCCGCCGTCTTTCGCGAGGAATGCCGCCCTCTGCGCGTGCTTTCCCCCGGACTGCGGCGGCGGGGCGGTGAGCGTGTGTGCGTGATGCTCGGAGCTAGGGAACACGGTGTCAGCGGGCGGCCTGGCCCGCGGCCATGTCCTCCGGGGGGCGCGCAGCGGGGGCGGCCCGGCCAAGCTTGCAACTCGCACGTGTGTTCCACAGCCACCGCCAGTTCCTGCTCAGATCCGGCCCCGGCGCCGCAGCGTTCCACAGGCTCCCACCACCTGTCCCTCTGTCACCAGCCCTAGGAGGCTCCTTGGGGCGCTCTGGCGGGTGCTCGGTCCCGGCTCACCTGAGAGTTCGACTCCATCAGCCTCCCTGGGCACCCTTTTATCTGCCGCCTTGGTGGCACTGCCTGTCAGTTTCTGAGAGTCCCAAGGCTCTGCTCATTCTCCTGGTCCCCTCCTTGTCAGACTGCTGCCATAATCACTCCAGCAAGGGGGTGGGTGAGGCTTCACTGCCAGCTCCTGCCAGCAGGAGGGCCCCCCTTTCTTCTGTGATGACCTCAGAGAGGGAAAAAGGCCCCAGGGACAGCTTTCCTCAGACTTTTCTGTGCTGCCATGGCGCCCTGAGCTTCCTTTTCCGGAATACTTGTCACATTTTGGCACAGATTCTTCTCCCCAAGAACGCGATAAGTTTGCCTTGTCCCATGTCCCCAGTGCCTGGTGCGGTGCGCAGCGCAGAGTGGGTGCTTTACAGAGTGCCTGCCTCACAGCATCATCTTCCCTCAGCTCTCAACACTGATGGAACACCGTTGGGAAGGGGTTTCTTGTCCCTTTTCTGTTGCGGTGGGGTTGGAAGCTCAAACCAGGCTGGATTTCATCACCCTCTGTCCAGTCCATGACTGGAGCTGGTTGCAGTTGTCCTCTCTGTCCCCCTCGAGGCCCTGCAGTTGTGCTGTTTCTCCTGCTGGAACACCCTCTCCCTTCCTCTTCTTTTGCTGGCTGCCCCACGTGTTTTTTTTTGAGACAGAATCTTACTCTGTCACCCAGGCTGGCATGCAATGGCTTGATCTCGGCTCACCGCAAGCTCCGCCTCCTGGGTTCAAGCGATTCTCCTGCCTCAGCCTCCCAAGTAGCTGGGATTACAGGCATGCGCCACCATGCCCGGCTAATTTGAAGAAATGATCTGATTGATTATTTAATCGGCCTCCCTGTCCCACGGCCTCTCCCTTTTGAGGCTCCTTTGGTGCGCCTGCAGGCAGGGCCATGGAAACAGGTTGGGTCTGTCTCTCTCCTCAGGCTGATCTCCATGGGCTGAAGCCCCTCATCCCCTTGGGCCTGTTGCCTTTGCCTGGGTTTCCTCCAGTAGCAGGTGACCTTAGCCTGTGTCAGCTTTTGCTTGCCCTGGGGTGCAGGTGGGGATCCACGCTACCAGGCAAGCTTGGGGGTGGCTCAGTCCTGTGGTTGATTGTTCCTGAGTCACAGTCATGTTCAGGATAGGCTGGGAAGGGTGCTTTTTTTTCTTTTTTCTTTAAACGTGAGTTTCGGCGCATTGTCGCCAGGACTGGAGTGGGCCTCCCAAAGTGCTGGGATTACAGGCGTGAGCCACTGCGCCTGGCCTTAGTCTCCTCTTAGTTCACATCTTCAGTCCTGTCTCCTGCTGCCTCGAAAGGAACCCAAGCTTCAACCAGTCTGGGCCTCAGGACAGTTTGAAAGGAGCTGCTGCCTGGAAGCACATCAGACCCTTTCTTCACCTGGGCAGTCCCTCCCCCGATACTCCTGGTCCTCTCAGCCAGTCGCTCTTCCACAGCATGCCTGCTGGGGCCAGTCTGTCCCTGGTGAGGCATATATCACCCCAGCAGGCACTGTTCTCCCTTGGGTGTGTGTCTTGGCTCCTGTGTTATCAGACTGTGAACATCTGGAGTCAGCACTGTGTCTTACTCACATCTGCGTCCTCAACAGCCCCACTCTGGTCTGCAGCACACAGTTGGTGCTCAGTGAACCTTTTTTTTTTTTTTTTTTTTTTAGTGGAGACAGGGTTTTGCTGGGTTGACCAGGCTGCTCTCAAACTTCTGACCTCAAGTTATCCACCTGCCTTGGCCTCCCAAAGTTTTCTCTCTGACCTCAGCCTAGATGCTGCCCTTCCAGGAAACCCCCCGACCCTCCTCAGGGCTCCACAGCCCATTCCATTATGGCATTTGTCACTCTATGCTGTTATCATCTGGCTCCTGGTCTGCCCTACGTTCCTTGAAGGCGGGGGCAGTAGCTTGTTTATGGCTGTATGGTCACGCCTCACTCAGCACCCAGCACCAGTTGGATGCATCTGGCTTCCCACCCTTTCTGGACCTCATTCCTGGTTGAACAGACCCCCACTGCCTCCAGTTTTGGGCGGCTCACTGATGACCCCACACCCACCCCAGAGATGTCACCTATGCCATTGCCCTTCTCAACCTTTCCCTCAACAGCCATTTATTGAACACTCACTATATGCCAGGCACTGCTCTGGGTGCTGGGGTAAATAGATAAGAAACCCTTGTCATCAGGGAGTTGTAGGGGAGACAATGAATTCATAAATTAAAAACTAATCTATTGTCCCAGGAAGTAAATGTTGTGGAGAATAAAGCAAAGTAAGGGTCGACAAGGAAGGCCTCTCTGAGAAGGTGCCTTGGGCAGAGATCTGGGTGAAGGGAGAGAGGGAGCCCAGTGTGTGTCTGAGGACGAATCTTTCTTTCTTTCTTTCTTTTTTGAGATGGTCTGGCTCTGTCACCTAGGCTGGAGGGCAGTGGCACCAACTTGGCTTGCTGCAACCTCTGCCTCACAGGCTCAAGCCATTCTTCCACCTCAGTCTCCCAAGTAGCTGACCCTACAGGTGTGCGTCACCATGCCCAGCTAGTTTTTGTGGAGACGAGGTTTCGCCATGTTGCCCAGACTGGTCTCAAACTCCTGGGCTCAAAATGGTCATCCTGCTTCGGCTTCCCAAAGTGCTGGGATTACCGGCATGAGCCACTGCACCCGGCCGTAAGAACCTTTCTTAGAGCAGGAACTGTAAGTGCAAAGGTCCTGAGGCAGCCACCCCGGGGCTCCTCATCCATTGCACAGCCTTTCTTCAGCTCTGAGGCCCCTCTCCTGGCCACTCTGCTGTGTGTTCATGTGGCAGATGTCTGTAGGAGGCCAGTATCTATTGTCTCACACTTGTCTGTCTTGCCTCCTGGAGAGACTGTCTGGGTCATTTTTCTTTGGCACTTCCCATTGCCCCTCCGGACAGTTCTTGAGAACTGTTCGTTGATTGACTTACAGACTGGCTGGGAGACTTTCCTGTTGACCAATGTCTCCTTTAGTATAGAATGAGGAAAGTGTTTTCTCTTCTCTTGCAGACGCATGCTGGGCCCCCACGTCTGCCTCTCTGGGTTCGGGAGTGGTTGCTGCCCTGGCTGGGCGCCCTCTATGGGTGGTGGACACTGCACCCTGCGTAAGTGCTTGTCCCTGTGCCCCAAGCCTTCTCCTCCAGCAGTGTGTGTTGCCAGCCCTCAGTCCCTTGTCCGAGGGGCAGACGGGGGTCCCCAGTCCCTTGTCTCTCACCTGCACTTCTCCTCTCAGCCCTCTGCTCCTTCGGCTGTGGGAGCGGCATCTGCATCGCTCCCAACGTCTGCTCCTGCCAGGATGGAGAGCAAGGGGCCACCTGCCCAGGTAACTGGGGATGGGCAGTGGCTGATGGGAACAGATGAATGAGCACTGAGGTTATGTGCTGGGCAGTGAGCACTTGAGATGGGTCCTGGCATCTCAGCTTCAGACAACTCTATTAGGTAGACATTTTGTGCCCATTTTATAGATGAAGAAACTGAGACACAGAAGTTATTGTCTTGCCCCGGGTCACACAGCTGGTAAATGGCAGAGCTGGATTTAAACCCAGGCCTGTTTGCCTTCAGAGCTACCCTCCCAACAGAATTCAGGAGGATCCTGGTGAGGTGGGGGTGGCTGGGACTGCCACAGGGTGCATGCTTACCCATGCGATGCCTGCTCTAGAAACCCACGGACCATGTGGGGAGTACGGCTGTGACCTTACCTGCAACCATGGCGGCTGTCAGGAGGTGGCCCGAGTGTGCCCCGTGGGCTTCTCGATGACGGAGACAGCTGTTGGCATCAGGTGTACAGGTGAGACCTCTGGGAGTGGTGGGGGAGGGGGACAGTGGGAATTATATCTCCTCCCCATCCTGCCAGGATGGTCTCCAGTGTATTGCAAGAGCCAGGCTGAGCCAAGATAGGCTCTGATGCATCAGAGTGGGCAGAGAGACACAAAAACAAGAGAAATGTGTCACTTCTGTTATTTTACAAATATATATATATCTTAGGGGCAGGAACTGAGCTAGGGACTGCAGTTATGGGAGCCACAGTGAGTCCCTGTTAGGGAGGTTTTTTTTTTTGTTTTTTTTTTTTGAGACGGAGTTTCACTCTTTTGCCCAGGCTGGAGTGAAGTAGCATGGTCTCAGCTCACTGCAGCTTCCACCTCCTGGGTTCAAACGATTCTCCTGCCTCAGCCTCCCGAGTAGCTGGGATTACAGGCAAGTGCAACCATACCCAGCTAATTTTTGTGTTTTTAGTAGAGATGGGGTTTTGCCATATTGGCCAGGGTGGTCTCGAACTCCTGACCTTGTTATCTGCCCACCTCGGCCTCCCAAAGTGCTGGGATTATAGGCGTGAGCCACTGCACCTGGCCCCTGTTAGGGAGTTTCTGAATATGAGGAAGGAAGACAAGTAACAGCACAAGAACAGCCCAGTTGTCGTGGGGACCTTAACTGGGAAGGGCAAGGTGCCAGGGTCCACAGAGGGGCATGGAACCCAGAGTCGGTCGGGTTGGCCAGGGGAGGCTTCTTGGGAAAATAACATTTGAAAGATGAGGGAAGCTAAACTCAATAATTATTTTGTGAATGTATTATTTGTTTATGATTTTTAAAACGTTTCTACGGACAAAATCTGTTACCTTCCCCAGAAACAGCCACTGTGACCAGTTTCTTGCCAATCTTTCCAGAGCGACAAAAGCCTTTTTGGAGTTTTAACTTGGTAAAAATAATGTTTCTCCCCCTGAATAGAAAATCAGGAGATAGTTCATTGTAGAACATTTGGAAAGTAAGAGGAGAAAAATGAAAATAAGCATTCTCTGGAAGTCCCCACCCGGAGATATTTGTTACTAAAATCTAGTTTTTTTTCCTGCCCTTTTCCCTGGGTGTGTCTGTGTTTGTGTGTGTATATGTATGTTAAGCATGCATAGATGTATGCTTTATAAAATTGGGGTTGTATCTTACCTGTAGTTTTTATTATTTCTCCTATCTTATTTTATGTTGTAGGTATCACTAACAATTTCTTGCAACGTAATTTTTTTTTTTCCGCTGGGCTTGGTGGCTCATGCCTGTAATCCCAGCACTTTGGGAGGCTGAGGCGGGTGGATTACTTGAGTTCAGGAGTTCAAGACCAGCCTGGCCAACATGGTGAAACCCTGTCTCTACTAAAAACACAAAAACTAGCCGGTGTGGTGGTGCATGCCTGTCATCCCAGCTACTCAGGAGGCTGAGGCAGGAGAATTGCATGAACCCAGAAGGTGGAGGTTGCAGTGAGCCAAGATCGTGCCACTGCACTCTGGCCTGGGTGACAGAGCAAGACTCTGTCTCAAAAAAAAAAAAATAATAATAATTGTTTTTAGCAGTTACATATGTGGTTGCTGTAACTGAAATAAGTATTTGTCTGTTGTCCCTTATTTAAGAGGTTTGCAGTGTTTCACCACTATAAATAATGCTGCCATAAAGAGGCTTCTTGTCGGCTTCTCTGATTATTTCCCAGAAGGACGCTGTTGGGTCCGAGGGTCTCACTAAAGGTGTCTTGGAGTTCCTTGCTTGTTGCAGCATCTCCTCCAGATAGGAAAAACAATGGAAGCAATTATCTGCTCCCGAATACCGTTCACCTTGGGGCACTTTCTGCATGTACTTCTTATTTCTGAGGCAAACGGAATCAAGGAGAAGCCAGAGAACAAAGTCAGAGCACTTGCAGGACGGGGTGGCACTGACTGTAGCCACTAGACATCCCAGTGGAATGGGGTTAGTCAGGGTGGGTTTCTTAGCAGTGTTGAGCATGGTCTTGACCGTCCAGCTGTTGGGAATAGTGGGTAGATGCTGGATAGAAGGCTAACTAGGGGATAAGGAGAGCGGGGGTGTCCCACGGGCTTGGGGGCCACAGTGGGGAGACTCACTACACAGTGAGTGCAGACTGAGTAGACTGAGCTGAGCCCTTAGGTCCTCAGAAGCTGCCGCAGATCTTTGGCAGGGAAGGGATCGCTTGCAGCATGATTTGGGGAGATCTGTCTCCCAGCTCCTGTCATCCCTCAGATCAGAACATCTCCCTGGGCTCGCCTTCCTAAAGTACTACTTGGGTTTAGTCACCACAACTTAGTCTTATCTTTTTTTTTTTTTTGAGACAG